TAGTTGCTAGTTTCATCTCTTGACTCCAGGTTTTATTAACACAAACTCAGGGTTGACACTGTGATCAAATGTCCCATAACAGGTGATCTTTTATTTATTTGGTAAGTAGTATTAGGTCCTTGTATTGTCTTTGCTCTTTGGATAGATCTTCAAGGAGTTTTGACTCATCCTTTGTAGACTACACTCCAATCCAATGTAACTGTATGTAATTTATTACTTCATTTCATTTTTTAGTTATTACTTTATTTTTGCTCCATACTAAGAATACTGGTAGAAATGTATTTTAGTTTCTGCTCTCATTGTGATCATAATCTTGACCATAAAATAGTTACAGCATATTCTGTAAGCAAGAAGCACAATTACAGAACTGTGTACAATATATAGTTGAGGTTCTTGTCAAAACACAACAAGGAAGCATGGTTTAAAATAGCAGAGTTGGTTAGGTAGCTTTGGGAGGAATATGGAGAGAGTCTAATGATAGATTTATGTAATTGCTTTACTATTCTGATTATTCCAATTTTTAATTTTAAAATTTTCCAACTTAACTTTTGAGGCAGTTATTTTTCACCTGTTTCTCCATTTTACTCACAAACATAATATAATAGCTTATTTAATAAACAGAATATACAATAGCTTACATTTCATAAGAAAATATTTAATCAGCAAAATATTCTTGTACATTTATCCACTTTAAATTTTGGAGTGCCTTTAGTTTTTGCCACTGTCTAGAATATGATAGTCCATATTCCAGGACTATAAAGGAGGATTACTTGTTTCTTAAGTCATTACAACTAGTGACTTAAGTGATACCATAGAAATAATATGTATGAAGATGACTTCTGACCTTTAAATATACTGCTGATGACTGGCATTGTGAAAACCCATTTCCATTATTTTTTAAGCTACTGATTCCCTGTGAGCCTTAAGCCACCTACTGTGCTTCAATTAACTTCATTAAAAACTATAATGTTCTATTTTTTGTTGTACAAAAGCAGATTTGTTTGCATCTGCTTGTAACTGATGAAGTTATGTGGCAGTAGAACTAACCCTGACATGATTTTAAGTTGAAGCAAACACTTAAACTTTTAGAAAATAATCTAAGTTAAACTTTTATGAATAAATAACATTTCTAAACTAAAAAAATATGTCATAAATGTGGAATAGTGATTATACACTAATAGTGTGAAAAGGGGTCTAAATGTGATTAGTGCATGCTGTATGAATGGACTGTGTTAATATGTACATTAACTAAAGTATATTAGTAAAAAAAAATAAAGCATAAAGAAGTAGGGTCATGTTACATATCATACATGAAGTTTAATGTCTATTAAGCAATTATGTCCCATTTATTATGTAGTATCCCCTGGAGCGAAGCCCCAAGCTCACTTAGTAGCTCTTGAATTAATGAATATGGATGGAGAAATAAATTAATATGGTTATAATATATGTTGCCAGATTGTCATCCCAAAAAGTTATTAAATTTTTATTGATAGTTACCAGCAGTAATTGATATTGTTAGGTTACTGAATTTCACATTGTAATTATGGTCATTGTGAAACTTGATCATTCCTTTGAGGTCCCCTTCTAGAAGTTACCAAGACCTACATGGTTTACAAAGAGTAAATTGTCCATCATACCTACACACATAAGTTACCTGCAGGGGACAGAGCCTGTTTCTAAACCAGGAAGAGAGCAGCTGAGTCACTCACTGCATGAGACTCAGCAAGCCTGCACATGGAGTCCCCCAGCATATTTTTAAGAGGGAAACGGCACAGTGAACACAGGTGGAAACATGCTAAAAGAATAGTTTCATAAGGCATGTGCATAGTCTGACTCTACCTAACGGAGTGAAGGGAGCACTTCCTGTGCACAGCCTCCTTTTCCATCTCCAGTGCTGCCACAGGAGGGAGGGGAGGAGGTGATTGAGTTGATGACATAAAAACATAAGTCCCCACCAGCAAAGATCTTCCAGGAAACTGAATTAAAAGGAATATGGGATTTCCTTGATTTGATGAAGGGAAGATAATGAAAACCTTGAGGGAGCTTCATGTTTAATGGTGAAACTCAGAAGCTTTTCCATGTAGCAGGAATCTTAAAACTTTTTATTAATAAAATCAAACCTGAAGCCAGGTATTGGGGTGAATGCTGGAAGACCAGAGAAGCAGAACAAGCCACAGCTACCTCACCTTGCCAGTTCCTCAGCTGATCCTGTTTCCTCAGACTGGAAGCCTCTGAGTTCTTATCAAAATGAATCTCAGCTGAACTGCTTCTCGAAAGCCTGAATGCTTTACCAGCCAAAAATGGTTCTAGTTTCTGGTCCTCACACCTTATATACCTTTCTGCTTGCTGCCATCACTCCCTGGGATTAAAGGCGTGTGTCACCATACTTGGCTGTTTCCAGTGTGGCCTTGACTCACACAGATCCAGAGAATTTCTGCCTCTGGATTGCTAGGATTAAAGGCGTGAGTGCCACCATTTTCTATCCTCTGTATCTAGTGGTTGTTCTGTTCTCTGACTCCAGATAAGTTTATTAGGGTGCACATATTTTGGGGAACACAATACCACCACATTTCCATTACAGTCAGAAGCAGCATCCTGTGTTGACTGCTCCTATTTAACGGGATGCTAGTGTTTAGGCCCTGGAATATCAGATAAAATGGGAGGTTCAGAAAAAGTGAGGTGCTAATGGGAATAAACTGTGTTTATGAGGAATTCAGGGGGTCTTCGGCTGTGCTCGTGGGACTGCAGTGTTTGGTGCAGACTTAGATTTGGAAAGGTCAGGTCGGTTGTAGTTGATGGCCTCTGTCTCACTTAGCCTCCTCTATTAGCACCAGGAGACACACTGTTCTAGAGTGCTGGGAATACTTCTCATTTGGCAATTATGTTCAAAGATTGTACAACTAAGCTGACAAAATTATTCTAACCACCCCAAAGTGGCTTTATTGGCTTTCAAATTTGGGGAAGAAAATAAAACTATCCTACTACTCTAGTTCACTGTTCAAGCTAGCAAGTGTTGTAACTGCTGTTTTAGCCAAAGTGGAATGAAGTGAAGTGGTCCAAGTTAGAAAACAGATGGGAGAATTTTTTGCCATAGTAAGATCTTTTGAATTTGTATCCTAATTTAGGGTGCCTTGCTCTAAATTTAAATCTGTTCAGATTTTGGATCTCTTCCCAAAGCTTTAAAGTACAGACTGTTCTGCCAGATTGAATCATAGCTTTAAATCCAGGCAACAATGAGAGATTTAGTATCAGTCATTATTTACTGGTAACCCAGGCAAAGTCCAAGCATGTGCTGTTGTGTGTGACTTGCTGCCTCCTTCCTCTGCATGGTCTGACTTTACAATTACTTATCACGTTTTGTGATTATCTTTCCTGTTCTCCTGGGAAGCCAAGATACTCTTCTGTAGAATAGATTGAAAATGAGTACAGAAATGAGAAGCAGAGAGTCTGGGGATTTGGTTAGGAACAACATTAGAGTTGCATTGTTTTTGTATCGTTTTCACATTGTTTCTCTACGTGTTTGGGGTTTGCTCTTAGATTTTCCTTCACTGTTCCAAGCATTCTTTTGTAGCCTGTAGTATTCTACCACGTGTATCCTGAAGCTGTTATTTTTCACTCTCAGCTCTTTGATGAGACTAAAGGCTAATATTAAGGCAGATGCTTTCTGGTTGCTGTTACTAGGGAGATGGTGTCTGCCTCAATTCTGGTTCATAGTGTCAACCTGATAGTATGGGACAGGTGGACATTCTGCTGACCAGCAGGTGATTGTGGGGCGTGGAGGCTGATGAAGGATAGCTATTTCTCATGACAAAATAAGTCATTCTGTGGACATGAGTGTACAGGGCAAAACTGAGACCAGCAGATGGTGTGTCGAAGCAGTGTCTTGTTTGTATCTCAGCTATGAGGTTTTCTGTGGCTGTCTATTCATAGATGCCAGCTGGGACTGTCCACTAACTGCCAGTACCCACTGCCTTTTGTAGCAGACTTGTTGGCTTTTTTAGAATATTCAGATACACTTTCATGTGTGGTTTCATGTTTGCTTCGTGGTAAAACAAGATATTCAGGAACAAAATCCATTCTTGGGTTCACTTGGTGGTAAAACATGTTAATCAAATACAATCAGATCCCTTTTCCCCAGTTCTCTACTCTCTCTGTAATTCTCTAGTATATTAAATTCTTGATCCCTATTATTGCCATTTCCTCATTAAATACTGAAAGTTCTTCCGAGTTATGATGAAAAAATTTCTCATTGAGAATCCAACACAGAATATAGAGCTATGTAACTGTAAACAGGCCTGCTGCTTTTTACTTTCCTTTGTTATATAGTTTATGGAAGGATCTATTTCAATGTTTTATTTTTTGAGACAGAGTCTTAGTAGACTAGACTGCCCCAGAATTCACTATATGACTGAAGCTGGACTTGAACTCCTGATCCTCATTCCTTCCCTTCCCAAGAGGTTTGGAAATGTTCTTTAAAATTTAAGAGTAAAGAGAGGTAGAAAGTACAGTTATTATCGCATATAGAGCAGAGGAAAAACCTCAGACATGCTGGAGGAATTAATCCATTTGCCTTGGAACACGAGATTGTACAAGAAAAGAAAATAACCATTTTCTCGATCTTGTGGAAACATTGTTGTGACACGTATTTCCTCAGGTTTCTCAACACAGTCCCAGGGGCTGGCTTTGATTTTGCCTAATTTTGGTGTGTTCCCATCTCTGAAGCAATCATTCCCTGTAACTTACTAACCAGGCCTGGGTTAGGTTTAGATTGGTTGGTTTGTATTTTTTTTCTCCACTGGAGCTTATGGATGGGATTAGCTCTCCTTCAGATGGAAGCAGAATAGAAGAGGAAGACCAGGGTGTAAACCCCAAAGGAGAAAGGGGTGCTGAGCAGATAAAGAATAAATCTGCTTGACAGGAAAGGGCTGTCCTTCACTAGGAAGGCCTGGCAGTTGAGGTACATGGCCTGATGCTCCCTGCTTGTCCTTGTTTTACTGCAGGTACCTGTTTCCCAAGTTCACACTGTGCTGGACCGAGTTTGTAGACATGAATGTCCATGTGCCCTGTGAAACAGTTGACTACATTGAAGCCAACTATGGTAAGACCTGGACGATTCCTGTCAAGACATGGGACTGGAAGAGCTCGCCACCAAATGTGCAGCCCAATGGTGTCTGGCCTATTTCTGAGTGGGATGAGGTTATCCAGCTGTACTGAGAATACAAAGTTAAGGAGGGACATTTCCCAAAAAGAAGGCGGGTAACTGTTTAAAACATGTGAGAGCCAAAGAAGATAAGTGAAAAGTTTGAAGACAGAAATGTTCTAACTCGTGGGCCATCTAATCAGCTCTGCCATTCAGCATTTACTGAGGCTTTTATACACCAGGTAAAACACTGGGTTCTGGTGGTCAGGCAGAGATGAATGAGCAAATGCCTGCCTCTTGCTTGTCATGTCCAATTTTCTGTTAAGGGAGTCTCCCCCACCTTCTGAAGAGCTGATGTGCACTGTGATGTATTTTATGATTCTTAAAACATTAAATAATGTTTATACTGGAAAGTGAGCTTATCAGACAAAGCTAAGGAAGGGTACATTCGTTAGGAATAAGTCCTTCCTGCCAGCCCTCAGGACTTAAGCTGCTGTGTTAGTGCCCCTTTAAGGTTGTGGAATATGAGTTAGTATTTTATGAGTGATTAGACTTTGTGTCACACAGAGAAAGACAGTGGCAGACTCATGTTACAAGCAATGCGATCCACAGTTGACTTAAAGCACAGGGCGATTTATAAAGGAACATGAGAGCCCATTTCAAGTCTTGTCAAGATGTATCCTCTTTTCTTCATATTTGAAGTGAGAAGTTGATGCCTATGTGATGCTTAAATGTCTGACGTCATAGGAACATGGTCACTGACCTGCAGTAGTTCTTGATAAGTCACTCAGTCATGCTGCCCAAAAGTTGTGATTTCACAGAGCTTACTTTGCTCATTTCATTCTCAATCGCTGTTAGACTTAAAAAATAGGAGTTATTCATGGTTATTTTTCTATGTTCTGAACTTATAACTCTTCTACCCTTAATTTGAATGTTGACACTAAATACTAGTAGATATACCTCTGAGTTTTCTAAATATACCATTTATTTATTTATGAACCGTAGCTCTATTTCTTTAATCGATAGCCTACACTCTTAATTGATTTAGTATAGAGATATGACTGTTGTTCTATCCAATATTACTTCAGGTTTCCATAATGGAGGGTTAATGTGAATCTGATAACTCTTCCTCATTCCAGATCACTGCTTTTAAAACCTGTGTCCATCTCTAGATTTTCCTTCTGCTGAGTGTAATAATGCAAGGACTCAGACTTCCCTACTACCAAGTGCTACACCTGCTGGACCCCTTGACATTCTTTTTCTTCTCATTATACACTCGTGAGTAGGTTGGGCTAGCTGCACCCATCTCTGTACCTGTACTTAAGTGATGTGCTCTAAGTGAGATATGCAGGACAGTCTGACACAGTTTATACTGCCTGGGAGAAGAGATTCTCTACTCTCTGCTGCTTAGGGATGCTCTCCCTGGCAGCTTGACAGATTTCCCTGTGGAACTATAGTTACTAAAATGGAAACCAGAATATCTGAGGGAATGAGCTGGCAGAAATTCAAAAACAAAAACAAAAACAAAACAACCTTGGGGGAAATTACTTAAAGCCACCCACTTCCAAATTTTAAAATCACATGAAAACTCTTTGATGGATGAAAAAACCACAGTCTGTGAGGATACATCCTCCATGTAGGAATACTGAGTCTCATCATAGCTGTCATATTCAGATTTTCAGGAAACAAATTATAGATCATAAACAGTTCTGTCCTAGAAAATAACTCCATAGAATATGTATCCATGCTTTAGATAGCCAACCCTAATTTCATTTTTTTTGTGCCCCAGAAATAAAATGATTATAATAGTGTTCTTGAGAAAAACCCACCCTATCTGCAGAGAACTGTTTGTTCGTATCAGTATCCAGAAGTAAGTTCACTCTCATCACATTTCTTGAGAGCTCCCATCTTCTGCCAGGAGATCTCGCCTACTCCTGTTCAAGTTACCTCACCTGTGTCCATCTTTGGAGTTCAAGGTCTGGAAGTGTTCAGAATACAGGCAGTCTTGGCCTGTGGTCAGAGGTTCTATATTCCTCCCTACACAGAGGACAGCTAAACTTCTTGTCTTCCCTCTGGTTTGGTATTAGTATTTAAGTTCCATCCTATCTTGCAGAAAATGAAAGCCTTTCCCCCAGAACTCGAAGGTGAGGCCTGCATCTCAAAATGATCCCATGATTCAGTCACAGTTACGCCTGTGCTTCTTAACTGAACTCTGCTGAGTGTCCAGAGACCTTGGGTTAGGTGTGCCCACCACCTGTACCTTCTCAGATACCTGTACCTTTTCCTTTCCTCCCTGAATATGCCAAGTGTCCTTCTCCTATATGACTACTTTCTGGTCCCATCGCCTGGCTTGTTTGAAGACACCTAGTGTAGTAACTTGTTGGTACCTTATGTAACCAAGGTTATCTGCAGAGAGACCCTGAGGAGCAATGCTTTCTCAGTTTGAAACAACCAGCTACTTCTCCAAGCATGGGGCACATGCCGTGCTCTTGGCTGCAGTTTTTGACATCTGCCCTCTGAGATAGAATGCTAGTAACCACAAGTGAGCATCCCTACAAATAGCCGAGCAGTTAGAGGGCAGGCTTCCCAGATTTCCTAGCTGCAGACCCTGAAATGTGGGCCCTGTGTACTCAGTGAAACATTCACTCTAGCCCTCATTTTCTCAGCCACTGAGTAATCCCAGGAAGGAGTGAGCTGAGCAAAAGAGCTGAGGCCGAGATCCAAGCTTTCTGTGATTTCTAGTCTGCTGCTGTCTGCAGTTCTGAGATGAGTTCTTAGTGTGGCCTCCATGACACATCACTCCAGTGTCTCAGTGACATGTGCTCTGGGGTGTTCGTGCCATCCCCACTGAAGGCCTGAGGTGACAAAAGACACTAAGGAGGAATGTTTCTTTCTTGTCCAATATAGTTTAACTAGGACACAGAAATTGCAGGTGAGGATATACTGCCTTACTCAGAAGGTGGCATGCCAAAAGTTGCTTAGAAATAATATGGGGGCGGGGCACTGATGAGATGGCTTAGCGGGTAAAAGCACTTGTCACCAAATCTGACAACTTGAGTTGGATCCCAGGATCCATATGGTGCACGGAGAGGACTAATTTCCACAAATGGCCTGTGGCCCCTGCATACTTTGGAATGCTTAGTCATTTACTACCCACCCTGCATAGACAAGTGGGCTAGGGGAGTCTTCTTGCCCAGCATGTGTGAGGCCTGGATCAGTACAAAGCACCGGAAGTCTGAGCAGAAGGATCACCATGTTCAAGGCCAGCCTGGGCTACATAGTGAGTTTCAACCCGTCCTGGGCTACTGTGTAAGACCCTGTATTGAGGGAAGGAAAAGGAAGGAATAGAGAGAGAGGGAGAGAATGAGAATATACTCATGTCAATCATCTGCCTACAAACTTATTTTTTTTCTAATCCAGACAAGACTCAACAGGGTAGGTAATGCTGTTTTAAATCACTTCACTTTAGAGCAAAATACTAATTGTAGTTGATTTTAGACAAACAGACCAATTCAGTGTTGAGACCTTTCATATAGCACTAGTAAGCAAATATAAATTTTCTGAGAAATTTGTTTCTGTACCCTCTTACCTAGGCTAGAATTTGTCACTATAATTCCTGGACCCAACCGAATAGAATTTCCCTGAGGGCCCATGTAGTCATCCAAACTTCTACTTATGAGTACCTTCACAGAAGGGGGTATATAGGAAAGCTTCGTCATATAAGGTATTCTGTCATACACTTTAAAAACTCTAAGCTCTTACAGCCTTCTGGCAGTTTATTCAAAGCATGAAAACTAGTTCATGAGTTTGTTAAATGCAAACCATGTAGCTCTGTTAACATGTGTGTGACTATGAACATGTATGTGAATTTTCTCGACAAAGTAATATTTTAAACATGAGATTTCAGTGTAGCATACCAGTTTACTATTTGGTTTTTGTCTTAAGGTATAGTTTATGGTCCTGCTGAAAACACTTTTAATATTATTACTGTGATCTGAATTTGTAATTTATAACCACTTTGGGATGATTAATAAAATGTTTTAATCTCTTGTGCTTTTTGTGTTTGTTTTTGAAATTTGAACTAGAAATAAAAAGCCACTAGCATTCAAAACTGGTGAAATAGTGAACTTGGCACAAATACAATATTTCTAAAATCCAAGTCTGGAAACCATAGAGGTCTACACACATACCCTGGAATCCAAAATTTCTCAGTGACAAAGTCAGCCACATGACATCTCTCATCATGCAGAGTTTGGCTTATCTGCTCATGGTAGCCAGGGAAAACATCCACTGTGCAGAACCATGACATAGTCAAAGAGCTCTAGAAAGTTCTTTTATACTATTTGAGCTAAAGTCAAAATTGTAAAGAAAAACCCCCAGACACAGGGTGAAAAGTCATAGTTTATGCAAACGCAAATATCTATAAAAAGGATATATATATATATATATATGAAAAGAAAGAAACCAAAGAAGACCTACATAAATGTAGGTACTGTGTCAAGCATTAGAAAAGTCAAAAGATGTGAAATTTGCCCAAGTTGATGTATACATTTGGTGTGCAACTCCTATGATAATCTCAGCCATGTTTTTCTAAAATCCTTATTCTGTAATTCTATGATAAATTTATCTAGAGGAGCTTGAGCCATCTTGACAAGAATAGGAAAGAGTGCAGGAGACACGGTTCCAGTGATAAGAGCACTAGCTGCTCTTCCAGAGCTCCTGGCTTCAGATCCCAGCATCCACGTGGCAACTCACACTGTCCTTAACTCCAACTCCAGGGGACCTAACACCCATTTCTGTTTCTGTTGGCATCAGACATACACATGGTGCATATACAGGCAAAACAAGCACACATATTAAAGAAAATTTCTTATGGACAAAGAGATGTGAGTCTCCTTGCATTTGAATAGGTCTGTGATCTTAGAAGGGAGGTGGTGATCCCAAGTTTGACAGTGAAATCAGTTGCTCTGTAGAGATGACAGATCTTAAATCCTTGTCTTCTCATTTGAAATCCACTGGTTTTCATTTCTGCCAATTCTTATTACTACTGGCCTGGAAAATAATTTTTTTAATTATAGCTTGTATCCAACATTATTTTCAACAAGAAAACATGTATATGTGTGTATATATATTATGTATATATAATATATATGGTATATATAATATATATATTTGATATGAAAATTTTATGTGGTAGCAATAGCTGATGCCTGAGTCCTCTACAAGGAGACTGCTGTGGGTTTTCACAAAATGGTGAATACGTCTCTTTCCAGAAGTCAAGAGTCTTAGAGATGGCATCAAGGTGGCCTTAGTGAAGTTGTCCAATGTGTCAGTGAAGACCCAGGCGTCAATTTTGGCCAGCAGTATCACCTTGAATACAAAAATGAACATGGAGCCTGAGCTGCTCAGGACAGGGCTGAGACGCACCAGCAGAGAGCCACAGCAGCCTGTCACCTCACATGGTACAGTGTGGAGTTTACCATTCTTATCCCACCAGGTACTCCAGCCTCTGCACTGGGACAATGGAAAACTTGGCCCCATAGGAGGGTCTGAGGAGATCTTACCTCCTCAGGGCTCAAAACACCCAGGCCAACATAACCATTGTAGAGCACCACAAAGCTGGCAAACCAAAGTCCACATAAGCCCTGGCCTGATCATCAGAACGTAATCAAGGGACTCTCCAAGGGAAAAGTCAGTGATCACATGTTCTTGGATGGGCAGAGGCAACAGGTAGATCTTCAGGGACTTGATCTTCATGTCCTAGACCACTGGACATAAGTTGGTGACTTCTTGTCTTTGGCTCTGCCTCCAAAACCCTACAGCCTTGACTCTGGTCTTGACCACTATATCCTCTATGAAAGGTTCTGAATCCTCCCAAGCATGGGCCTCTATCCTACTGCTACATGGGCATCACCCATTTGATATTTTCTTGACCAAGAAGTGAATCCAACCCGAAAAAGAAATAAGTAAAAAACTATAGAGATTGTTGTTTCATGAAGAGGGGTAAAGGCATTAGGTGACAACTTGTAAAGGTAGATGTCAGGGTGATGATGGGTGGGGACTGAGATCCCAGCAGATGCTGGTTTGTAGAGTTGACAGCTGGTGGTGTTGGTGACTTAGAGCCCTTAGATGTGCCAAACACTGCAAACCTTGCATAAGATGTACCCACCTGGAGGGTAGCACCCTTGACACTTGCCCTCTGAGGATAGCAGTAGCCCACATTCCTCAGGGTTGTAACAGCCAATGTGAAAACTTTCCAGATCAACAATTCCCACCATCCCCTTCTGATTCCAACGTTATGACCCACCCCACACTAAGCATTGTGGGGCAGATTTCTAATACCAAGTCCTCGGCATGAATCTGGATGATGGCATCCACTATGAAGGGGATTCCAACGAGTTCATGGTGACACACCACCCACATTCTGAACTGTGTGCTGGCTGCTGAGATGTGGCTGGTGATTGAGCCGGGGATTGTAGCCTGACACCATGCCTTCCATATTGGGTGTTTTGTGTATTCTACCTGCTGGGCCCAAATCTCAGGCTATCATCCCTGTGCTGTGCCAGGCCAGACTACTGTGAAAGCTGCTCTGTGGCCACCCTGGAGAAGTGTTTTGCATTCTCTGAACTCATCCTAGACTGGATCCTTTAGACCATTCAGAAGGCTTACTGTAACAGGGCCCCAGACCGTAGCACAACTGACTCCATAACAGAAGTACCATTCAGCCCATAAACTCAACATGTCGACTGTACCACCTGACAAAATGAAAACAAAGACCTAATCCATCTACGTCTACAGTTATGAGAAAGTCTCCAAATGTTCTAACCTCGCTTTTTGGCTTCTGTAGTTCTAATTCTGGCTAAGTGTTCCTGTTAACTAAAGATGTCAACCCAGAACATTTTTTGTGCTTAAAAGCTCACCCTGAAAAAGGCTCAGTGCTACACTGGGATCCTGAACACCCAGTGTAAAAGCCAGCTGGCTAATAAGGACTTTCTATTGGCTTAAACCCATGTCCGAGCAGTCTTCTCTGGTGAATACAACACTTACCACTCTAGTCAGGTGGCTTATGGCATGCACCAATTTCTTGGGCAGTATCTCCAGCTCCTATTCCAAAAATGGGAACCTGGGCCTATACCCTAACTGCCTTTCTTCCTCCTGCAGTGCTATGTACTCCAGCAACTTTATCCTTCCCTTGTGGTCCTGGCTCATGATGGCTCCTAAAGCCATCCTCATAGACTTCACCAGGGCCTAGGAGAAGACCCCACCTGGACCATCTACAGGCTCTCAGAGCCAACTTGACATTACAGAGAAAGCAGGACCAGCTGGGTGCTGGTGGTAGTGTAGAAAGACCAGGAAGTTCGGCCATAGGGGTAGATTAAGATCTCCACTGGGAATCAGAGATCTTGCATAGCAAAAAGGGGTTAGGGGCATGTTATTCGGTCAGAATGGGGAGAACATGACTGCCACCCATGTCCAGACCATCCAGCATGCTGGGCAGGGAGTCTATCTCAGCATCCAGGTTTCTGGGGTAAATGACCCCTGCTTTTTTGGGGTGGGGGCTGGGAGGCTGGGAACAGAAGCAAAGAAAGAAATAATACAGCTCACAATCTCTGGGTTCCTCTCACCTCTGCTCTGAGAGAGAGACCCCATACATCTCATCCTCGACCCCAATTCTCACATTACTTCTTAAAGTGATGGTACAATTAGTTATTCTGTCCAATATTAAGTTTTACATAGAAAATTGTAAGTATAGTAAGAAGGAAAAAGACAAAAAGAAAAATTGTAAAAAGTATACAGTACATTTAATTTATACTATCTGATTGTTCTGAGCACACTTAAAATTCAGGTATTGAAGTCCCACCTTAACTTTCAGTATGCACAATATTATGGGATGTGGAAACAGAACCTTTTAATAGACAGTTCAGGTACAATGGAGTTTGTATGTGCAAATCCTAATCCAGTGGTGACTGTGTCATTGTAAGAGAGACTGGGACAGGAATGACTCATAAGGAGAGTACCGCGTGTGGACAGGAAGAGGGTGTCCGTCTACAAGCCTGGAAGAGGAACCTACAGAGGAACTAACGTGCAACACCTTAATTTGGATTTCCAGCTCCAGAACACAGGTGAAGGATAATGAGCTTTTGTGTGGCCTGTCAGAACTGTAACATAATCGGACAGAGTGGGAAAAGCATGGACACCCTAGGAACAATTTCTCTCCCACAGCACACTGAAAGAGCAGGGGACAGAAAGAGGAGCAGGCCACAGGTGCTTTCTGCAAATGTTAGGTTGTGTTTCTGGGCACTAATGGCCAGCTCATCTTTTTCTTCCCTCCACTACGTCCTCAAGATATAACCAGAATGGGTCTTGGAGTCCCAGCGGAAGTTACTGTTCCCATCTTGGCAGCTCACTGTTGTCTTCCTATCCTCTACCCTCCCCTCCAAGATTCCAGGAACTCAGGTCCCTGTTCTGGGTATTGTACTTTAGAAGCCCTGCTCCTGATCTCCTCCCCTGCCTACACTGTACCCATGCTCCACCTTCTAGACAACAACCTGGACATTTGGGAACCCTGAATTGCTTTACAATAGGCACCAAGCTCATTTTCAGTGTTGGTTCAGGACTCTTTTCAAGTCTGTGGATCGGAGTCCACCTAATACACAGGGCCCTTTACTGAAACAAATGGAGCTGTGGGTAGGAAAAAACAGAGAGGAAGGAATTAGGAGTCTCCGTTTTTCCTTTAAGGTCCTCGATTGCCAATGGGAGCCTTGCTTCAAGGCCTTGTCTAAATACTATCCCTCCCACACATAATGCCTGGTCATCCAGCCAGAATCTTTGACCTCTTGTCCTAACTAGAGTTTACCTTCTCTGCTCCTGAGGACTGTCAATCTTGTATTCAGTCTGTCATGTCCCCTTCACCTTTCTGGCTCTACCCACATACCTGAGCTTTGTAATCCAGACAGTATCTTCTCCGTTTGTAATAAAATTATGAGTTTACATGGGTGTAGGGTAAGGAGTCCTAGGTGTGACAAGCAGCCTGAGGTCTCAGTGCCTCACAGCAGTGATCTCTCCTGTTGCATTAGGGCTGTGGGTGGTTTGGGGTTTGCTCCATGGTACCCAGGCTGCAGGAGCAACCTCAAGCATGACTTTCTCACTGCTGCCTCAGCCCGCAGTCATCCTGCTGGAGCCTCTCTCCATGGTCTGTGTCATATCTGTTCATATTCCATTGGCTGATTCTTGCACATGACCAAGCCTGGCACTGAAGAGGGAAGTGTATTCTTTCCACCTATGCAGAGCTACTGGTCACATGAACTTGAAGGGTTTCTATAATCCTCACAGAGAAGGGAACTAGAATGCAGTTGTAACAATAATATAATCAACTACAACAAAAATCTGTTAATACTATGAAATGTGCTGCTTGTGATCCTAAATACCTTACCTGTTTTTCCTTCTAATTCGATTCTGGCAGTTCCAGCACTGTAGCCATTTTACAAATAAGGTAACTGAAGTAGAGAGAAGGTTAGGAATTTGCCTGGCAACCTACAATGAATAGACAAGAAATGTCATCCTGGATGAATACAACCTCAGAGACATTTGCTCTTATTCACCAAGGTGCAATGCATTTATGAATTTATTGCCTCAAATCCTGGGACCTTCAGAGAGAAATACCTAGAGATTGATTTTTTAATCATACACTAATCAAGCAACATTTGATGGACATCTATTCAATGTGGTACTGAGGGATATAGAAGAGATGTAAGACATGATAAATAAGTAAATATTACTAAGTGTGGTGAAGCGCTGAGAATACAGCAAAGATGAAGTGTGTGGGGGCCTGTGCCTGTGCTCTGGTGTGTGTGTGTGTGTGTGTGTGTGTGTGTGTGTGTGTGTAGGCATAATCTTAGTATGAAAAAGCTCTTAGGTGATGGGCTGACGAGAGGGCTAGGTGAGGAAAAACACTTGCTGCCGAATCAGAAGTTCTGAATTTGATCCCTCAGATATATAGCAGTGTCTGTATCTTAACCATGTGATCCAGCCTCCACCCAAGAGCATATTAACCAGGAAAGGACATCTTTCTTCTCATGCCAGGCAGGCTATGTCTTCTGGAAACGTTGAATGGGGGAGGAGCACAGGATGAGGGATGTTGGCACTGAGTATGGTGAGTACCTGAAAGAAGGCCCTGACCCTCTCTGTTATTGGGCTAAGAAATGTCCTGCTTTTTTCCTTCTTGGATCTGATTTTCAACTTGTCCTCAGTTTCATGGGGTTCAATAACTTCCTCACTTTGCTTAGCCTTCCCAGAGTGACTTATTGTCTGTCCTGGAAATTTCTTAAAGATTTATTTTATCTTATGTATCATCATCATCATCCTCATCATGATTAGTTGTCTTAGACAAAGCTTTATTGCTGCAAAGAGACACCATGACCACAGCAGTTCCTATAAAGGAAAACATTTAATTGGGTTTTGCTTACAGATCAGAGTTTTATGCCATTGTTGTCATATTGGGAAGCATGGTGACACACAGGCAAACATAGCGCTGGAGAGGTAGCTAAGAGTTCTACAGCTGGATCAGCGCACAGCAGGAAGAGAGAGTGACTCTGGGCCTGGCTTGAGCATCTGAGACCTCAAAGCCCACCTCCAGTGACATACTCCCTCCAACAAGGCCACATCTACTCTACCTAGGCCACACCTCATAAGTGTCACTTTCTACGAGCCTGTAAGGGGCCATGTTTATTCAAACCACACATTATTATTATTGTTGTTGTTGTTGTTATATGTGGGGGGCGTTCACACACAGGCGCCTGCTTGATAAGGCAGCCATGCAGAACTTAGAGGACAACTTCCTGTGGGAGTTGATGCTTTTCTGCCCCTGTGGGCTCTGGGGACTGAACTCAGGTCATCAGTTTGTGCATCCAGGACTTTTACTCACTGAGTCATCTTTTGGGCCCAAAAATACTTTTATTTTCTTCAAGTGTCTTGGTCCGTGTTCCAATTTAAATGACTTACGAATTTAATGGTCCCTATTACTCTTGAGCAGAGATAGATTGCTAAGTGTGTGGTTAACCATGGAGAACTGGCAGCTACCTCACTGGTGACTGACTGGCAGTTCAGCTTTGATGAAATGAAATCCTTCCCTTTGGTGACCTGAGGTTTTTCTTAGGAACGTTTGCATTTGGAGACTATTTTTAGTCTAGTAGTTTATATTTACTGGAATTATGTGCTGCAAGCCATAGGAAAATATAATGGAATTTAGCTACTATCTCAAAAGCTACTATTGGAAAGGTCAAGGCCTTTTCTGAAGGTCAAGCCATAGCTTAACAAGTCTTGTTGATATTTTAGCTTCTGTATATATATTATCCAATTCCTGCAATGATTTCCTTGTATGCTATATATGCTTTCAAGAATTCATAACAGTGTATTTTATCGGAAATGCCTATCAAGTGTCCAAGGCCAAAGGATCTCCTGAATTAAGGCAAATTAAGCTTGGACCCTCCTTTCCTATACAGCCTCGGTGGTATTTGTACTAACATTATAGACTCCTAACATTTACCTAACCACCTATAGGAATGTACTTTGGCACATAATTTTTTTTTCTGATATATTAACCAATTTTAGCTCTTAGTTGACCTCCTCCTTTACCTCTCCCCTTTTTTGTTATAAAAGAAAGCCTGATGGTCACTGCCTGAGGAAAACTCTTGTTTGCCTTTATGATTCTGTAAGAACTCAAGCCTGGTGACGTTGCTTTAGCTAGAGCACTGCTATTGCATGGGTAAATAACTGTAAACCAAAAAAACATTGATGAAGGATTTTGACTGGAGAGGATTTTGACTGGAGAACTAGATGGAGGTCTAGAAGAATGAGATGGAAGATGAGGAAGAGCCAGATAAGAATGAGATGAGTAAGAATAAGATGAGAAAGACCAAGATGGGGCAGAATTAAGATGAGAGAAGTAAGATAGAACTTAGAGGGGACAGCAGATAAATGTAGAGAGATATCAGGCAAGAGAGGATCTAGGCATGAGAACAGAACTGAAGCTGAGGAGACAGAATTTTATCATAGAGGAATAAAGTGTGAACTAAGAGCTCAGTGTACTTAGATTCTTTTCCTGAAAATAATTCTTGCTGTTTACAGCTCTTCTGGTTCCCTAGGAAGAAGATTATTAAGGCTGGACCATAATAATAATAAAAAAGTATGAATGGTACTGATACTTAGAGAAAAAGATTTTCATTTCAAGTGTGGGAAATAAGGGGCAAGGCCATATTTTCCCAGACATAACACCAAATGTATTACCAAATACATAGTGAGTAGAGTTAAGTGGATTCTCAGACCAACTTAATCACTGAAAGAAACATCATTGTGCTGATTGGAAGTGGTAGGTATGTTGACTGTGACCAGCATTCTCTAGTTAACTGTCCTTTATAATTCTGAACATTAAAAAGGTTAAATTCAAAGTACATGTGTTTATGTGTCATGTGTTATTATAATATAATTCATAGAAGGCAGTTATTAAATGGCTATTAAAATAAGTTTAGACAAAATGCCTATCTAGCATACTAAAGTTTAGAAGTGCAATCAGTCCCTTTAATATGAGACTTTCTATTCATGGATATCTGTATCTATATATCTATATCTATATCTATATATATATATCCATATCTATTATGGATTCTTCAAAGTGAACGGCATGCCGCCCAGTGGCTAGGAAGTCGTATTGCAGGAGAGAAAGGAAATGCCATTAGTGATGCTGAGTATGGAGACAGGGAACCAGGAAGAAACATGAACAAGCTGGGAATAAAATGGGTTATGAGAGTAGATCCTAGAATTAACCTGCTGTTTAAATTTATGGCACGACCACATGTTTGTATTAATAGAAGCACATTCTGCCAATAGACGTGCGTGCGTGCATGTGAGTGTGTGTGTGTTCTGTTCTGAATATTTTAAAATGAGACACTGACTTACATTCGTTGTCTCTTTTTTGGAATCAAACCATCAACAATATTATGTATAATCTGAACTGATCCTTGGTATAAATAATAAAAGAAAAGGAGCAGGGCTGTAACACTTCTGCTTTGAAAACATCACCCCCACCTCTGCTGGAGCAGAGATGTAACACTTCTGGTAGGGAAACTTTTTCCCCACTGCTGGAACAGAGCTATAACACTTGCATTGGGGAAGCTTTTCCCTTCAGAGCTACAAAACTTACAGCTATGCATTTGAAAAGCATTCACTTATAAAAACCTGAGAGGTCTTCCTACTTAGAATTCACATACATTGTTTAGCATAATAAACACTGTTCTTTTTTTAAAAAAAAAAAAAATCACCTCTTAACACTCCAGAATGCATCAATTTTAACTTTTTTTTTTTTCTTTAAAAGACAAAGCCTGACTCTTGACCCTTCTGCCTTGAAGTCCAGAATGATTGAGTCATAGGCATGCCAGGCTTAATAGTGACCTCTTGGAAGTGTCACATCCCATTACAGTTTTCAAAAAAAATTCTCTTTAAGCCAAGCATGGCAGTGCAAACTTGTAATCCCAGCACTTGAGATGTGGAAGCACTAGGAACCGTTGAAGGCCATCCTAGGCTACATGGAGAGTTTAAGGCCAGCTTGAGTTACATAATACAGAACTGGATGTGGAGGGTAAATTATTTCATCTTTTTCTATGGTCTCTTAATAAATTTTGTAGAGAGGACTTAAAACTACAATACTGTGTCTAGTACTTTGTAATTTTCAGAAACTCCTATCAAAATCTACATCTAATACTTACCAATAACTCTTTACACCATTAAAAGCAAGAGATGCCAGTCCCAGAACTGTCTATGTTTGTTTCGAGTCCTAATCTGGAAGACAGCATCTTCCAGACCTGGATGTCAACTAGGCAGCTCAACCTCATGAGCTTATACATCACTTCCTAGTGATCTTTCCCACTCTATCCCCAATCGGAAGCAATGGTATCTAAATCGCAAGTAACGGTATCCAAAGCAGAATCCAAGGAGTTATTCTGAATCTGTTTACTTAGTACATCCGTTTACACACCAGGGGGGTGGGAGACAGAGACACAGACAGAGAGGGAGAGAGAGAAGGGAAGATAGGAAGAAGGAGGGAAGGAGGGAAGGAGGGAGTAGGGAGGAAGGGAGGAGCAAGCAAGCAAGCAAAGCAAAAGGAATCCTTATCCACCCGAAGTTTGCATGTAGCCCACACTCTGCACTGTCTGGTGAACCAGCACACCAGGGGAGACAGTTCTGCTTTGCTCGCTGAGGTTTTTCTAAACTCTCAGGCAGCCTCGGTGCGCTGCTGAAGGGCTGGCTGCCTGCGGCTTTCTAAAGGCCAGGCAAACAGCAGGGCTCCAGGAACGTGGGACAGTGAAGTGGCAGAAAACGCGGACGGCCCCAGGCCACCCCAGACACTACTCAGGCCAGCCTGTGAGGCTGCGCGCTTGACGGCCGCTTTGCGACGGTCGTCGCGACTGCCGTAAAGCGAGGCCTCCGCTGCTGCTGTAGAGTGAGGTAAGATGAGGCACCGGGGCTGTGTCTCTGGGCTCTGGGCGGGCCTCCTCAGGCAGGTGTCGCTGGTCGCCCGGTACCCGGACTGGCGGTCGGCCACATTCGGGGTACCCGCCCTAGGCGGTGGGAGCAGCGGAGGTCGGCCGCAGGTCCATGTGTGAGTCAGTCCGCCGGCACGCTGCGCTCCTCACGGAAGCAGATAGTCCCCACGTGCCCTTGCGGTCCGCTGATCGTCCTGACCGGCTTCGATTTCGGAGGTTGATGGAGACGCTCGTAGAAGCCGGGTCGGGACGGTGTCATCTTTTGAGCTGGGTGGTGAGAGCGGAGGATGGGGGAGAACGAGGAGACGTGAGGACCGGTGCATGGCAAGGTGCCTCTGCAGGGGAGGAACTGCTGCAGCCGGCTGCTCTGCCTGCATCTTCAGTAGTGGCTGGAGGCATGAACTCGCCAGGGACAGGGAGAATGGCAGGCGGCTAACCAGAGTTCCCCCTGAAGGAGTTTGATGCCCCCGCGAAGGACTTGAGAAGTTCTGTGTGCAGGGGCCAGCTGCAGCCGCTTCGAAGAGAGGAGGTGGTTGAATTGCCAGTGTCTTTCCTGTCCTCTGAGACTCCTCAGTGTTCGTCCTTAGTACGTTTGGAGGAGTGCTCACTGTGCTTAATAATAACGGTGGATGACGATAATAATAATAATAAGGTGGAAGCGGTTAGCCATGACAGATAATTGCGTGTAGCTTTGCTGTCTTGCGTTTACATTATCAGTTGGGGAATATCGGGAAAGATTGGATATAACTGGGGCGGGGTAGAGGCTTTAGATAAGAGTACAGAAAACTGAATTCACATTTCATCACTGTTTTCAATTTCTCAGGTAGCACGATGGAAACCACTTTGCTGTGTGACTCAAACTTACTCATCTATAAAGAATGATACTCTAGTCTTTCTAGCTTTATATATTTCAGATAAATAAAAGTCAGCCAGGCATGGTAGCTCACACCTGAATATCAGCACTTTGGAGGTGGGGACAAGAGAATCACTGCATAATGAGCTTCAGGCCAGCCTGGGGTAAATGCCCTCAAGCAAGGAATTAATTTCTTGCCTCTTGAGGGAAAGTCTTTTCTCACTGCATTAGAGTTAATATTGCTGTGATGAAACACCATGACCAAAAGTGACTTGTGGAAGAAAGGGTTTATTTCACTCCCTGTTCCATGTAACAGTTCACCATCAAAAGCAGTGGGGGAAGAAACCTGGAGGGAGGAGCCAATGTAGAGGCCATGGAAGAGTGCTGCTTACTGGCTTGCTACCATGTTTTGCTCAGCCTGCTTTCTTATAGAACCTGGGACCACTCATAATGGGCTGGGTCTTCCCACATTAATAACTAGTAAGAAATGGCCCCCCATATTTGCTTACAGCCTTGGTCTTATAGAGGCATTTTCTCAGTTGGGGTTCCCTCTTCTCATATGACTCTCAAGTTGACCTAAAATTAGCTAGCACACTCATAAAAAGAACTTGATTTGAGCTGGGAAGATAGTTCAGCCACTAAAGTGCTTGTCATTACAAGCATGATCATCTGATTTCAATTCCCAGAAGTTACATAAAAGTGAGCATGGCAGCCTGCAGGTCTACTCTTAGATCTGGGGAGATGGAGACAGAAGGATTCCTGGGAATTTCTACCTACCCACCCTTGCTCATATAGTGACTTCCAGGCTAGTGATAGACTTTGTTTTTTGGGGTATAAGCAGTAGGAAGGAGGATGGCTCAGTGACAGAGAGCAAGCATGAGATGTTAACCTGAATTCAGATATTAGCACTCATGTAGGAAGCCAAGCATGGCTGTGTGCATGTCGGTCACCCCAGAACCAGGGGAGGCAGCAAAAAATAAGGGTTGCTGGCCACCAGCCTGGCTCCAAAGTCAGTGAGAGTCTCTGTCTTGAGGGAATAAGGTAGAGTGTGAAAGATCAAAATACTGGATCTCTTCTGGCCTGCATGTTCCTGCCCTCATAGAAGTGTACATACCCCCAGCACACACAAGTCCACATGCCTGCAATACACAAGTGTACATAGCCTCCCCAAACACACATAAGTGCACATAGATCCTTACACACCCACAAAGAGGTTGATGGTACCTAAAGAATGACACTAGAGGTAGTTTTACCTCCACATACTTGCATACACTGCGCTCATCATCTCCCTATACAGTAACAACTGGTTTAGTACCATTCTCTTCTAGCCCTAAGAACACATTACCAAAATGAAGTTGGTGGTGGTGGTGTTGGGTTTTTCTTTTGTTTTGTTTGAGACGGTCTCATTATGGAGCCCTGTCTGGCCTGGAACACATTATGTAGACTAGGCTGACCCTGAACTCAGCAATCCTCCTGCCTCTGTCTCCCAAGTGCTGGAATTAAAGGCTTACACCGCCATACCTGGTTAAGAGTAGAATTAAAAAAAACATTTTTTTTTCTATTACAAAATTAGGTTCAAGTGAAAAAGCCATTAAATAAAAAGAAAAGCATCTACATTTTCTCCCCTTGAAATTCAGTCTTACCTACTATTTCTTTTTAGTTAAGAATTTTTTTTATTCATTTTATATACCAATGACAGATCACCGTATCTTCCATCGTCTGGCCTCCCAGCCTGCCCCCGTTCCCATCTTCCATTTCCTCCTTCAAAAAGGTAAGGCCTTCCATGGGGAGTCAGCAGAGCTTGGTATATTCAGTAAAGGCAGGTCCAGGCCTCTCCCCTTGCATCAAGGCTGTGTAAGATGCCCTACCATAGGTAATGGGCTCCAAAAAACCAGCTGATACATCAGGGATGGATCCTGATCCTACTGCCGGGGGCCCCTTAAGCAGATCAAGCTATACAACTGTTTTGTTTATGCAAGGGTCCTAGTCCAGTCCCATGGAGGTTCCACAGCTGTTGGTGTAAAGTTCATGAGTTACCACTAGCTTGGTATGGTTGTCTGTGTAGGTTTCCCCATCATAATCTTGATGCCCCTTGCTCATAGAATCCCTCTTTTCTCTCTTCGACTGGACTCCTGTGCTGCAGGCTGCAGGAATATATCATAAGAACTCAGCTGGTTATGGCAAAGTCACTACCTGGAGGAATCAGGGAATTCCTCCAGAGGGAGCCAAATCCCAAGGAGTTTTTGGTGTTACTTGGCTTGTTATATATCAGCTGTATTCTGTTATGAAAATCATGTGTGCCTTCATAGTTTTCCCAATTGACTTTCCCCTAAGAAGGGCTAACAGTGTGGACTGATCACTCTCTGGACATACACATTCCAGGAATTTGGAGAACAGCCTCAGGAAAGGAAAGATTTCTCTGAAATCAGATTACCTCCCTTAGCCACTTTCAAGGACTACAGGAAACACTGCCCAGGTGGGCGCCCAACTTCCAAGGACTAACAATGATAACAGCCCACCTGCAAGTCTCCTGACTTAAATTCCACAAGGAGACACCGCCCAGGTGGGTGCTCAACCTTCAAGGACTAACAGTGATAGCAGCCCACGTACAAGTCTCCTGACTTAAAGTAAATTCCACAAGGAGACACCGCCTAGGTCAGGTGGACATTAAGTAATAGTTTTATACAATTTAGCTCAGGCCCTTCTTTCTTACAGCCTTACTAACTTTAGACCTCTAACTCCTTACCTAACCACTTCTAGGAATATTTAGATTTTTAACATCCTTTACCAAACACATTTTAGACTATAGTTGTGCACATAAGATCCCTCTTAGATATTACCCAAATTTAGCCTTTAGTCAATTCATTAGTCACTTCCCCTTTGGGTTGCAAATAGTAATTAACAACTATTGCCCCTCATTGTGATTCTTATCACCCCTCCATTTGATCCTGATAGTGGATAATAACTGCCTGAGGAAGTTCAGGCTGGGTGTCCTGGGTGGAGGGGAGGATTGTGATTTTTGGGGGATATATAACTGTAAAGCAAGGGACAAAAGGTGGATTAAAGCGAATGGACCAAAGAACTCTGCCTGCATAGATTGATTCGCTGACCTTAAGAATAGATTCTTAGCTGCTTGATAGATTCTTCCCTGGACCCTGGAAAGGAGACTATTAGGGGCTGGACTCCCATAGTCCCCGATACTCCTGGAGCTTGGCCTGATGCTTGACTGTGGATCTCTGCATCTTCCATCAGTTACCTAATGAAGGCTCTATGATGACAAGGTGTTCACCAGTCTGATTACTGGGGTAAGCCAGCTCAGGCACCCTCTCCACTATTGCTAGTAGTCTAAGCTGGGGTCATTCTTGTGGATTCTTGCACAAGAATTTCCCTAGCACTAGGTTTCTCCCTGTCCCCATGATGTCTCCCTCTATCAAGGTATCTCTTTCATTTTGCTCTCCCACTCATTCCCTCACCCAGCTTGATCATCCTGATTCCTTATGTACTCACTCCACATACCTTACCCTACATTGCCCCCCAAACCCTCATTTTACTAATGGAGATCTCATCTATTTCACCTTCCCAGGGCGATCCATGTGTCCCTCTTAGTGTCCTCCTTGTTAGCTAGCTTCTCTGGAGCTGTGAGTTGTCGTCTGGTTATCCTTTGCTTTACACCTAGTATCCACTTATGAGTGAGTACATGCCATGTGTTTGTCTTTCTGAGTTTGAGTTTCCTCATTCAGGATGATATTTTCTAGTTCTATCCATTTGCCTGCAAATCTCAAGATGTCATTGTTTTTTAACTGCTGAGTAGTACTCCATTGTGTATATGTGCCACATTTTCTTTAGCCATTCATTGGTTGAGGGGCATCTAGGTTGTTTCCAGATTCTGGATATTACTAATAATGCTGCTATGAACATAATTGAGCAAGTTTCGTTCTGGAATTTTTGAGCATTCCTTGGGTATATGCTCAAGAGTGGTATCACTGGGTCTTGAGGAAGATTGATATCCAATTATCTGAGAAACCTCCGCACTGATTTCCAAAGTGGCTATACAAGTTTGCACTCCCACCATTAGTGGAGGAGTGTTTCCTTTCTTCCACATCCTTTCCTAACATAAGCTGTCATTAGTGTTTTTGATCATAGCCAATCTGACAGTTGTAAGATAGTATCTGAGAGTCATTTTGATTTACATTTCCCTGATGAGTAAGGATGTTTAGTTCTGTAGCCCATGTTTTAAATGGATTGTTTGATATTTTGCTGTTTAGTTTCTTCAGTTCTTTATGTATTTTGGAGGTCAGTCCTCTGTCAGATTTGGGGTTGTTAAAGATCTTTTCCCATTTTGTAAGCTGTCATTTTGTATTGTTTACCATGTCCTTTGCCTTACAGAATGTTCTCCACTTGAGGAGGTCTGATTTGTTAATTCTTGCTCTCAGTGTCTGTCTACTGGTGTTATATTTAGGAAGTGGTCTCCTGTGCCAATGTACTTAAGGCTACTTTCTACTTTCTCTTCTGTTAGGTTCAGTGTAACTGGATTTATGTTGTGGTCTTGATACACTTGGACTTGAGTTTTGTGCGTGGTGATAGATATGGATCTATGTGCAATCTTCTACATGTTGACATCCAGTTATGCCAGCAGCATTTGTTGAAGATGTTTTCTTTTTTCTGCTATACAGTTTTGGCTCTTACTCAAATATCGGGTGTTCATAGGTGTGTGGATTAATGTCAGGGTCTTCAATTTGATTCCATTGCTCCACATGTCGGTTTTTTTATGCCAGTACCCAGCTGTTTTTTTATTACTACAGCTCTATTGTAGAGCTGAAGGTCAGACATGGTGATGCCTTCAGAAGTTGCTTAATTGTACAGGATTGTTTTGGCTATCCTGTGTTTCCCCTCCCCCCGTCGATTAAGTTGAGTATTGTTCTTTCAAGGTCTGTGAAGAATTGTGTTAGGATTTTGATGGGGATTGCATTGAATCTGTAGATTGCTTTTGGTAAGATTGCCGTTTTTACTGTGTTACATATCCCTAAGCGTTGGAGATCTTTCCATTTTCTGATATCTTCTTCAATTTCTTTCATTAGAGACTTAAAGTTCTTGTCATATGGGTCTTTCACTCACTTAGAGTTACCCCAAGGTATTTTATATTATTTGTGGCTACTGTAAAGGGTGATGTTTCCCTGATTTCTTTCTTGACCCATTTATCATTTGTATATAGGAGAGCTATTGATGTTTTTGAATGAATCTTGTATCCCTCCACATTACTGAAGGTATTTATCAGCTGTATGAGTTCCCTGGTAGAATTTTTGGGGTCACTAAGTGTACTATCATACCATCTGCAAATAGTGAAAGTTTGACTTTTTCCTTTCCAATTTGTATCTTCTTGATCTTTTTTTTTTTAATTGCTCTAGCCAGAACTTCAAGTACTGTATTGAATAAATATGGGGAGAGTGGACAGCCTTGCCTTGTTCCTGATTTTAGTGAAATTGCTTTGAGTTTCTTTCCATTTACTTTGATGTTGGCTGTCTTGCTGTAAATTGCCATTATTATGTTTAGGTATGTTCCCTGTATTCCTGATCTCTCCAAGACCTTTATCATGAAGGGGTGTTGGATTTTGTCAAAGACCTTTTCAGCATCTAATGAGATGATCATGTAATTTCTTCTTTGAGTTTCTTTTATATGGTTTATTACATTAGCAGATTTTCGTATGTTGAACCATCCTTGCATCCCTGGGATGAAGCCTACTTGATCAAGGTGGATAATTGTTTTTATGTGTTCTTGGAGTCAGTTTGCTAATATTTTATTGAATATTTTTGCATCAATGATCATGAGGTTGATTGGTCTGTAATTTTCTTTCTTTGTTGCATCTTTGTGTCATTTGGGAATCAGAGTAATTGTAGCCTCATTAAAGGAGTTTGGTAACATTACTTCTGTTTCTGTTGTGTGGAACAATTTGAAGAGTATTGGTATTAGCTCTTTGAAAATCTGGTAGAATTCTGTGTTCAAACCATCTGGTTCTGGGCTTTTTTTTGGTTAGGAGACTTTTAATGACTGTTTCTATTTCCTTAAGGGTTACTGGTCTATTTAAATAGTTTATCTAGTCTTGATTTAACTTTGGTATGGGGTACCTATGCAGAAAATTGTCCATTTCTTTTAGATTTTCCAATTTAGTGGAGTACAGGTTTTTTTTGTTTGTTTGTTTGTTTTTTTTAGTTTTTCGAGACAGGGTTTCTCTGTGTAGCTTTGCGCCTTTCCTGGAACTCGCTTTGGAGACCAGGCTGGCCTCGAACTCACAGAGATCCGCCTGGCTCTGCCTCCCGAGTGCTGGGATTAAAGGCGTGCGCCACCACCGCCCGGCCGAGTACAGGTTTTTGAAGTATGACCTGATGATTCTCTGGATTTCATCATTGTCTCTTGTTATGTCCTCCTTTTCATTTTTGATTTTGTTAATTTGGATGTTCTCTCTCTGCCTTTTGTTTTGTTTGGATAGGGGTTTGTCTATCTTGTTGATTTTTCTCAAAGAACCAACTCTTTGTGTCATTGATTCTTTGTATTGTTCTTTTTGTTTCTGTTTTATTGATTTCAGCTCTCAATTTGATTATTTCCTAGCATCTATTCCTCCTGGGTAAGTTTGTTTCTTTTTGTTCTAGAGCTTTCATGTGAGCTGTTAGGTCACTAGTATTGATTTTCTCCAACTTCTTCATGTGGGCATTTAGTGCTATGAATTTTCCTCTTAACACTGCTTTTTTAGTGTCCCATAAGTTTGGGTATGTAGTA